AAGTTTTGAAAACTTTTGCAGAAGTTGAGGAAATTGCTAACATTTTAGTTAATACATATGCTATGCAATTCAGCACCTTCCCCACCTGCATCCACCTTCTCCCTGCTCCCTCACTCACATTATATTATTGTTTGTCTGACCCCTCTCCCAGAATGTTCTATATGAACAAGGGTCTTTTCTTGTTCACTAAATTCCAACATCAAAGTAGCCTGAAGCAAAGCCTGGCACATAACAGGAACTCAATAAATGAATGAATGTCTTTCTACTTAGCCTTTCTTAAACCCATTCAGATGTACTGGCAGCTAATAAGGGTGGCCCCTGGACACAGCACACCCAAGGTAACTCAGGCTGGGCTTGGAGTAATGCAAAGTAAAGTCAGGAGCCAGAATCTTCTGGTTCTTTCTCAACTTTTGCCCATTCCATGACTGACCGCTCACAAGCTGGATTCTTGGGAGAGTCACATAGCTACTTAACTCAAGCTTTATAAAAATTAAGATTAGCAATGCCTATCTGTCATGACTCCCTAATATTGTGCAAATTATGTGAGATTACTTGGTAACCTCTATCTCTAGATTTTTATATGAGGCACAGCGAGATAGACCAAGTGCTTTCCGTTTTGATAAGGACCGAGGAACAAAAAAATAAATGGGAAGCCCAGGCCTCTTCCATAGACTTGGACCTGAGCTAGCGTCTCTGAACAAGTGTTAACCCTGAGGGAAGGGACTGAGTGGTGGGGGAGGGAGTTCGCCAAAAGCACTGTAGCTCAGGACACTGGGTGAGCAATTATCAAGGAAAGGTGCTCATCAAGTTGAGAGGCTTTTCTGGATATTTCTGGGCTGCACAATTTGTGGACAACCCCTGGGAATGGCAGCTTATAGACAAGATCAGGGATTTTCTGATCATCAGAAAGAAAGGAAGCAAGCAAGGAATGAGAGAAAGTGGGAAGTATCTCTTTTCATTTTTATTGAGATATAATTGACTTACAACACTGTACAAGTTTAAAGGTGTACAGCATAATTACGTGACTTACATGTATTGTGAGTGATTACCACAGCAAGTTCAGTTAGCACCCATCAACTCATATAGACACATACAGTAAAAAGAAAAAAAGTCTCCTCTTTGTGATGAGGACTCAGGATTTACTGTTAACAACTTTAATATGTATCATACAGCAGTGTTAGCTATAGTCGTCCTGTTGTACATTATATCCTTAGTACTAATTTGTCTTATAAATGGAAGTTTGTACCTTTTGACCACCTTCCTCCAGTTCCCTCTCTCTCCACTCCCTGTCTGTCATAACCACAAACCTGATCTCTTTTTCTGAGTTTGTTTTAACAGCTGCTGAAGTGTGGAACTTGGAGGACAGAAAACACTGTCCCGAGAAGATTTCTGGGACTTTTTTTGTGGTGCATGATAAAAAAAAAATTCTTAGTAATCCTGCTTTAAGGAAACCTACACTGAAAGTCTACATTAAGTTTCAAGGTTTCTGACATCATATGTGTGTTTCTTTGAGTGTGATGTCATGCTTATATTGAGACACACAGGGCCACTACATTTGTTAGGGTCACACTGACCAGGCTTCATTTCTTCTTTTATCCAGTTTTTTAGGTCTTGTTTATTGCTATCATTGCTATTTTTCACCAGTTACTAGATTCTTTACTCATTGTAACAGCATGTGATTCATATCTCAAGATATATTACAATACATAATATATCATCTTATCTTACATTACTTACATATTTCATTACATTATCTCTTCTCTTACATGTTAAATAAGTGGTTTCATAAGATTTGGGAGTTACTTTTATTTCCTTCACAGAGTGCTGTTCTTGGAAGTACAGAAGTTGGTTACTTCCGGGAAGACTTCCTATATATGGCTAATTCCATTGCACATAAATTATTTGTATCCAGAAACTGTAGTCTGCCTCTGTCATCAGGCCACATTCTGACTCAATTTTCAGGAAATCCAGTCACTTAGTAAACTTTTCAGAAAGTTAAAGAGTGAGGCCCTGTAAGCCATATAGATTTGAGTACCTACCTTAGTTTTAATTATTTTCAAATATGTGCTTACAACGAACCAGATATAACTTGGTAGTCTTTGTTTTTTCTGCAGTCAGTTTTTGGTAGCTTGATCCAAAAGATGGATAAAAATTGTTAGACTGAGCCATTGTACTCCTTACTAACCTTTTAGAATAAGAGAGAAATGATCATTTGGATACTCTAGTTTTTATACAGCAGAGAAAACAAAGTTTTGATTGTAACATACATATTTAAAATGACTCTAGGCTTGCATCAATGGAGAGCAGTGAAGCTCAAACTTTCTCCTCACAATTTGTTTGTTTAGATTGTCACTGGAAGCATTTCTCCAAAAGGGGGGCACCTCACTTAATTAAATAGAAAATAACACCAAGAACTTTTCCTGAGCTATGCTTCAAAGGAGATGGGCTGCTTGGGAGAATTGAGGGGCGAACATCAGAGCCCAGACCATTAGCAGAGATGTCCTGTCAACATAGTGATTTAAGAACTAGGACCTCCCAAGACAGACCTGGTTTCTGATTTTCTCTCCCACATCCTTACTGGTTTGTTGATTCGAACAGACTGGCCTGATTTTTGAATCAGAGGATATGGTCACCATACTTACAGAGGCAGGAACCAGGGAATGTAGACTACCCTTTAGAGAAGGCTCGTAATAAAGGGGAGGCTAGAGATGATTTGGCGCTTAATGGAGAAAGGAAGTTTATTGGTTTGTTTTTAAGGATAAAGGAAATTGAACATTTGTGTAGGCAAGGAAGAGTCAGTGGAAAGAAAGGGACTGAAAGTGGAGATAACCACTGAAGCAAGTTGAATAGACTTCATCACAAACCAAGGTGGACCTTGTTGAGTTATTTAGGGGAAAATAAATTTACATCAAGTCTGAAGCTGTCCTGAGGGCCTAGCTAAAGTAGGCTAACACAGTTCAGCAAGGGTCCCACCACTAACTACATGATTGTCACTGTCATCATGTTGCTTCCCAGAAGCCAAGCATAGATGGTTGAGTTTGCCTAGGATTGAGGTTGGGATGTGCATGTGGTGGAAAGTCGAGGTTACTTGTGAGTGAATCCTGGGAGTGCGTGGATGCCATGTCAAAATGCCGAGCCTGAGCCCAGACCAAGGCCAAGCAAGTGGAAGTCTGCTGAGGCAGAGAAAGTTTCGTACGAAGGGTGAAAGGGAAGCGGAGGTCAGTTCAGGGATGAAGACTTCAGAATTTAGCAATACAGAAACAGAGCACTTTGGAGTGATGATTCCAAAGTTTTCTGCAATAGAGATTTTTTTAAAAAGTCAAGGATACTGAGGTCTGAACGTTAAAGAAGTCTTTTTTTAATTGAATTTTTTGGGGTGACATTGGTTAATAAAATCACATAAGTTTCAGGTGTACAATTCTATAACACATCATCTGTATATTGTATTATGTGTCACCAGCCCAAGTCAAGGCTCCTCTCGTCACCATGTCTCCCCCTTTAAGCCTCTTCTACCTCCCTACTCCCCTTTCCCTTCCTAATCGCCATACTGTGGTCTGTACCTAGGAATTTTGTTTTTGTTTTTGCTTAATCCCTTCGCCTTTACAGTAACTGTGTCGTGGTTTCGTGTCCAGGCTAGATGGCAGGCTGTGTTACGAATACAGTGTCATCAGAAGGTAGATGGGTTTTATTCTGTTAAAGGGTCAGTAGGGGTGTTTAAGAAATCAGAAATGTAGGGAAGATTCTGGGAAAATAGAACATGGTCCCCTCGTGAAGCACCAGGAGAAAGGGGAAGGAGGGCCGGCCAGGGAGGGACTGCCAGGAAGAAAAAGATGTGAACTGGACCGAGAGCAGGAACAGTTTGGCCCTCAGGGCAGCATTTCCTGAAGTGGTTCCAACCAACACCAGCCACACAGAATGCACGGTAGGTGTTATATAAAGTATGGCTCCGGAGAAACTCTGGTTAAGCAATGTAAATGGATTCCTTTACTGGCAGAGTCCTTCGAACCTTTAATGGGGTACCCCTGTGTCCCATGCACTTCCAGGAATAGAATTTGTGACAAGAATGCATGACATTTACCCAACTTAGCTGGTCAAAAAACTGATCATATCTTGGGAAATTCTGTTCTAAGACTCAGATTTTCAGTTTTTTTAATGAATTGATGGATGGATGACTGGTTACGTAGATGAATGAATGAACGACATAGGCAGGAAGTTAAGAGACAGATTGGAGCGGGAATAGTAGTCAAAATAAAGTGAATTTGTGCTAAGGGAATAATATTGAGTCTACAAATGTATTTCATACTTCTGTATAATGCCCTTGCCACTTTCTCTCCCATGCCATCTTCTTACTACCAGTTGTGGGGCAGAGAAGAAGGTTTATTTATTTTACTTATTTAGATACATCTCCTTATTACCTGTTCCTTTCTTATTCTGGTAGGTGGTTCTGTCCCTGCAAATCCCCAAATGGATCTCAGTAGAATCTAGGTTTTGAGGGTGGGATGTTCACAGGGTAGACCATGAAGTTTTGAAATGTCGAGTGCAGAGTCCCCAGTTCCGCTGCATGTTTACACACATGTGCATATACATGTACATGGCTCCTCCCCCTACAGCCTCCTTTCTCTTCCATTTCAATTGCCGTGCCCACGTCCACTCATTTCTTTTCACTCTGATGGTTAGCACTGGAGGATGACGAAGCAGATGGCATGTTTTACTTCTCTACGACTCTGCCAAGTGTCACAGTGAACTGGTTAGGGAATGTGTGCTAGATCAGTTTTGCTTCTGAAAGTGGGAAACTATGCCTACTCCCAGCCCCAGGGAGGGGGCAGGAGGAAGCAGGCAGGGCAGATATCAGGTCTCTATAGCAAGGATGGTATAGAGCTATTCGCCAAGCAGAAACTTTGTTTAAGAAACCTGCAAGATTTTGAATGTCTCTCAAGTAAACATCTGTTGTAAGGGAGACCAACCTTGGTGTGACCAGGAGCTTTGTGACTTTATTTCAGAACGCCAAGCAGGCACCTCTATGGCCAACTCCAGCTCCCTCCCTTCAAGTTCAGCTGGGATCAGCAAGGAACTGATTGATCTGCAGCCCCTCATCCAGTTCCCTGAGGAAGTTGCCAGCATCCTGATGGAGCAGGAACAGAATATTTACCGAAGGGTCTTGCCAGTTGACTATCTTTGCTTCTTGACCCAGAACTTGGGTACTCCGGAATGTCAGAGGTCCCTGCCCTGCCTCAAAGCATCCATCTCAGCATCAATTCTTAACTCCCAGAATGGAGAACACAACCCCCTTGAAGATCTTGTGATGAGATTTAATGAGGTAAGAAGCCACTTGGAGAAGTTCTTGTAAGTAATTGATAGTAAGTGATTTTTAAGCATATTTCTCCTTTTAGGTTTTCTGTTACTGACATCTCATCTACCTGTCAATCTTACCACTTCTGTGATAGCTGCTTTCTTCCCAGGCAATGAGATAGACGACACACTGTCATCCTCCCTCTCACTTCACTCTAACCGCCCAAAGCCTAATTGATGTTATCTCCACCCATATCATTACCAAGTCCACTTGCCTTCTCCCTTTGGACAGTCAGTCCCTACCTTTTTTCCCCTCCCTTTCCAAAATATTCTCCCCAGGCCCATTTTCAAATATTCTCCCCTGGTTCCTACAGGTGCTTTTAAGACAAGATGTATCAGTTTTGAGTTTGGACAACATGATCCCTGGCCACCAGATCCATCTAGCCTACCTCCCTCTTCCACGATCAGCCTCCTGAATAGACACTGAACACCAACACCTGGGTCAGGAAAGTGGGGAGGAACATAGGCTTGAGGGACAGTGAGTCACCCCACCCCTGCTCTCAGCATCCCACCAAGATCCCAGCCCCTAGAAAGTCTCTCCAAGGCCTCTGAGACCTTACCAGAAACCAATTCTGAAGAGGACAGTTGTGATCAGAGTTTGGGAACACTGTAAGAGGGGCGCTGTAAGAGGTCTAGTGGCTAGTAGTAGGAAAGGGGCCAATGGCTGACATGCTGTGGCCCTGGAGCAAGGACGAGGGACAGGAAGGAGAAGAGGCAGGTCTCCGTGCAGGGCAAGGGGTGGGGATGCTGTGCTCTTGGGCTTAAAGAACACTTTTCCTCCATAGTATAACCCTACACCCAGAGTTTTCTGTTCTCTAGTTTCTGTCTTTTAGACTTAATTTCTTTTGCCTCAATTATTAAAACACAAAATTTCAGTCTCTATTCTTATTGGTTCGTGTTTGGTTTAACCACAAATATAGTAGTTTCCTATTTTAGTCATCTAGTAAGCTGCCTGAATGCTAAGAGGATACTTCCGTTCTGGTCCTATATGTCTCTGATTGACAGAGGATCAATCGGCCTTTGTTACTTAAACACTTTCTGACAGTGGCAGCTCAGCTCACAGTCTCCGTAGCCTTCCAGTCATGACCCTGATGATGGATGTATATGCCAGTGTCCATGGTGAGGCACAGTGGATGCAGAAAGTGTTAGAGGCTCAGCTCAAGCAGTTAGTTCTGTGCTCAGACATGCTCTCAAAGGGGGATCCATTACCCATAGGAATCGCTGATCTCCATCTGGCGCTGTCATGTTAATCAGTTACATGTACCATTTATTTGCTCCTCACAACAACCTGGGAGACAGATAATGTCATTAGCCCTACCTTACCAATGGGGAAACTGAGGCACAAGGAAATGAAGTCATTTGCCCAAGGTTGCGTAAGTGGTAGATGGCAATAGTGAGATTCAAACGCACATTGTCAGGCCCCCAGAGCCTGGGCTTCGGACCACTGTGGTATTCTGCCTCCCACGTGTATCAAGGCTCATATTGGGGGGTGACGCCTGATAAAAATGCAGGTTCCTAGTTCTACCCCAAATTAAGTAAGACAGACTCTCTGGGCATCCACATGTGAGTTTGTGAACCACACTGCCCCATCGTTCTTCAAAATAAATCTGACGTTCTTGATTTTCCTTACTGATAAAGCTGGGTGGGAAATGAAAGTTCCAGTAAACTGTGTGATTTCATACGGGATTTTACTGTATTTCATGAATTATTTTAAACTTCCAGATGTAGTAACTCTCACATAACATAGGACCTTACCCTTGTCCTTCGTGGTTGTTACTGTTGTTTTGAATTCCACCTGAATATAGAAGTGATTTGCCCAAACTTTTAAAATCTAATTTTAAATTAATTTTGGAGAAAGAAAACTTGGATTTCTTTCATTCACTACCATAGCCTTGGGAATCCAAGATGAATCAGTGATTTCACTAGTTCAGAGTTAATGGTCATATGAACCACAGCTGGGTTGAGGCATGCTTTGGGGGCTATCTCTGAAAATACTTTAAGCAACTTCAGAACATAAACAAGATTTCTGGGAACACAGTTAAATTACTAAAGAGAACAGTCTGTTTTCAAGTATTCTCAAGCATCTATTTTCATACAAATTATGGGCATGAGGATTAAACATCAATCTTATATAGTCATTATAGGCAAATCCCAAATGACCTCCACTAGACAACACTGGGATAGCTAACTTCTTGTTTTTACATACCTTAGGGTAGAAAAGCTGCATTACATTAAAGGAGAATTCTTAAATTCAGATTTTCACATATTTAGAATGGCTCTGCCTCCAAATTAGCATGATTTTACTTTCTAGAAAGAAAAAGAAGGAAAGGAGCTAGCATTTATTTACTAGGTGCTCTGGGCTGGATATTTTCACATTTTTAATCCTGTTTAACCCTTAAGACAGTTTTGTAAGGTGGTTGGCATTGTCCCTGACTCACAGATGAAGGAAGTGAAGCTTAAACAACAAAATAATCATAGTATTGGATTACGGTCTGTAGAATAAAATAAATATTTATGAGTTTATACTGATTTGAACAATTGAATAAATATATCAATCAGAGGGGAAGATAAGGTAACTCTTACTTATAAAAGAATTTCAATAAGTATAAAAGGAATGACGGAAATAGGAAATCACCATTAGCACACCTCAGTAATAAATTATTACCTGATTACAGACACTTATGAATTCTAAAATTTTTGCACAAAACCATGATGAGAAACAAGATACTTGCATAGTTTAAAAGTATCTCTCCACACAATACTTATTAGTTACAAAAGGGAAAATAGAACAGTGGAGAAACCCAGTAGATACCAGCTTAACCAAGTGCTCAAAGTCAACATGGTCAGATAGGACATACTGATGTGTATCTCCTAATATGATGCACTAAGAAGGACATGACACTATTTCTTTGGTGTTCTTGCCAAAATAAAAAAAACATAACTCTAATCATTAGGAAAAAAACATCAGACAGCCTCAAGTTGAGGGACATTTTACTATTGATAGTGTCAAGGTGATGAAAGTTTAAGGAAAGACTGAGGAATTGTCAAAGACTACAGGAGCAGAGACAAGGCAACTGAATGCAGTGTGGGATCCTATTGGGTCCTGGACTAGAAAGAGGATATTAATGGGAAAACTGGTGAAATTCTAATAAGGCATATAGTTTAATTGACATTAATGTATCAGTGTTAATTGATAATGGTACTATGGTTATGAAAGATGCTAACATTAGGAGAAGCTGGGGGAATTATATCCAGGAACTCTGTATATTTTTGCAAATTTTCTGTAAATCTAAAATTATTTTAAAATAAAGTTAAAGAAACAGTAAAGCTCAGATAGGTTGAGTCACTTGTTCAAGGTCACACAGTGACTGAGTGTATGTCGGAATTTAGCTCTCTCTCTTCAAAGTCCTTTCTCTTCTCGCCCAACTGCCTTGCCTCTCTATTTATTAAATTATCGTGTACAAGTTTGTAGTAAAACCAGAACTGCTGATTTAGAATTTAATTAGATTTGGGTCTCCCTTCCCTCTCCTCTCCCTCTCTTTCTACTTCTTTTCTAAATTCCCTGTGTATTTATATTTTTCTACTCCTCTTTCAGTTCCTATTTTTATCCAATTTCCTATTACTACTCAGGCACTCATTCATTCACTCGAGATATTTATTGAGCAACTACTATGCTATATAACCTTCTCTTTTTTTCATATTCTTTTAAATAAGAAATTAGCAATATCTGGTGACAATTTATGTTATTATAAGCCCAAACTTTGGCTCTGTCAGAACTAGATACACAAAATAAATGCACTTTCTTCAGGGAAGGAAGATATATATTTCTTGGGACACTGGAGAATCTGAAAGACGAGAGAGAGAATATTAGCTTCATTGCAGGAGCGTTGGTCACTTAGGAGAGAGACCAGTGCATTCAGTTAACATATTGTAAGCACTTCTCAGAAGCAAGGCACCATGGTGGATAAGCACTACGGAAAGTGAGTAACAGTCTGCAGCTGCCAGAAGCTACCAGTCTTAAATTGTAGTCAGGCACGGGCACAAACACTACCAAAAAAGGCAGAAAGTTCATGCAGTGTGAGGCACAGATGGTGGGAGCTGAAGTGTCTGGGTGGGTGATCAGAGCGCTCTCTCTGCTCAGCTCGGGAGTGTGGGGCTGGGCCTGTGGAATGGCTGAGACAGAGGGAGGTCACTGGGGAAGGGAGGACATTCCGAACAGGAAGGCAACCGGTTCTTGTCATGAGCAAGACTCATGGTCTATGGAGTCAGCTCGCTCCTGTGTGTCAGTAGAACATGATCAAGAGCTACAAGTTTCCTGAATTTTAACAACTTCTTATGAAATGATTAATGTTGATGTGAGGAAAGGGAAGAAAATCTCTATGCCTTTTGGGCAATGTTGCATAATGTTTATGCTTAGGAAAATGTGGTTAAAATGCAGTTGAAAGTACAGCCATGAAATAACTGAAAGGATTTGGCTTACATTAAGGAAGGCCAGGAGATAAGTCATTTAAAATCAATTTAGGTTGTGGCTTGGAAGCAATGTTTGTCCCCATTCCCCTTCTCCTGCCCGATGTCGGGACTGTGCGCACCAGAGTAATTTCTGAAAAGGTCATCTTTTTATCCTTGCAAGTACACAGAAGCACGTGCTTGGGTCAGCCCTCAAGCTGTGGTAGTCAAGACCTGTGCTGGAGATGAGCTCAGTTCTGCTCTGCTTGGTTGGGAGGCAGGTCTTCCTGAAACCTTTTGATCGGGACACCTCTCTGTAGTTATATTCTTGATCTAAAACTCCAAGAAGCCAGTATTCTCCTTTCAGGTTGAGCAGCCTCACTTCCCAGCCACCCATGAAGTCTCTTGCTTTGACAGTCTCAAGTCATAGTGTCCTCCCCTCCCCCATTTTCCCCTTTATCCAGCCTCTACCTCTAGCCCACATTCCTTTTGATCTTACTGGTTTATGACTCCTCTTCAGAA